GCTATTCCAGTGTGTCATTTCCTTTAACTTTGTTCTTCTATCTATTTGACATTTCTATTATCCTATGACGTTGTGTGTTTTGAATTCTGTGCTTGTAGCTGGACTCTGCTTTTGCTAAACCAAAATGTTACAGTTCTTGCCCCGCAAAAGAAGTCTTGGAAATATGAAAATGTGTATTTGCGGCAAATTAACCTGCTAGGCTTCAGTTCCTCCAGGCTAAACTACAAATAATTACTAATACTTGCCTTTCAAGAAGATTAAATTCATATAAAAGTGCCCAACACTGTTTGTCAAAGAGTAAGTTCTCCGCAACTGGTAGCTATGGTTATTATTTCGTTAATAACAACAGTAAAATCTGTAATAAAAAAAGAATGGTGCCGAAAATGATGAAAGTTTACAGTCAGCAAAGTTTTCTTAGGTCCAAGCCCTCTGAACCTGTCTGCTTGGCGAGGGTAGTATGTTCTCTAGTGAAACACATTCTGGGACCCTGGCACCTAGGCACACTGTCAGCCTTCAGAGAAGCAGTCACTCAGATGGGTACCGGGAGCCCATTCCGCTAATGTTTATTGTGTCTCTAGCCTGTGGCGGGCACTGTACTACACTCACTGTGCTAGAATGAGTGGAACAGTCCCAAAACACAATATAATCTCTAAGGACTGCACAACTGGTCATCTGATCCCTATAAAGCTTGGTCAGCACTGGGACACATTGAGGAAATGTAAAAATTTCGTGCTAGGTCCCACCAAGCAGAGAAGCTCACTTCCTGTTTCCTGAACCAAACAAGGCCAGGTTTCTGCTGCCGGCCCCACAGAGGGGGACTGAGGTGGAAGGGGACCTGAGGGGGACAGGCCCATTTCCTCAGCCAGCACAGTAAGAGGGGTGTTGACAGGCCGTGTTTCTTGCAGAGGCCAAACCCCTTTCACAGGAAAGCTGTTCTATGAGTCTTCAAAAAGCCAAATCTGACCAGCTTCTCAAAGCAAACACAACTCCTTTCAACAGTCAGCTGCCCAGGCTGGTGAAGTCCAAGGGGAATCTCCACCATGTATACATCAACAAGGCCAAGAAGCCAGGAATCCCCCGAGGAGTTCCTAAGCAGAAGTTTAGTGGAATTCTGTGGGGCTTGGGGCTTACTTTTCTTTTTATAGAAAGCACTCAATCAATCTTTAACAACCAAAGGTACATTCCCCAATGGAATTCCCTTCACTAAAGATCTCTAAGGATAAAATATTCATCTAATTGTCTGTAATAATTTAAGTTTAAACCCATTTACTGGCAGAGTCTGTGAATTCCTACAGCCTCTCTACCTATAAAAAGAACACATGCCAGACTGTCTCAGTGGTCCCCGATTTCTGGGTCCCTCTGGTCCCAGAAGAACACTAATCCAACGAGTGTCTTGACTTTGGGATAGGAAAACAGGTTTGTAATAAAGAACCCAGAATCTCAGACTTGTATCCTTTCCTGGTGGGAGTGTAAAATGGTATCACCAGTCTGGAAAAAGGTCTGGCAATTTCTTGTAAGGTTCACACATACTTCTCCTCTGTGACCCAACAATTCACTCCAAGCTATTTATCCACAATAAATGGGAACATACGTCCCCAGGAAGACTTACACATGAATGTTCATAGCAGTTTTGCTCCCAATAACAAAGGAAAAACAAAAAAACAAAAAAAAAACCCTGGGCGTAGCTCATGTGTTTATCAACAGGAAAACATATAAAAACTATGTGGTATAGAAATACCTCCAGAATATAGCTCGGCAGTAAAAATTAACCAATGGTAAGAAACAGCTGTGTTTGCGTCTGAGAACACAGGGGCAGGAACCAGAAAAAATGCTGAAGAAACTTTCCTTCAGCTTGTTGATAATGTTCCCTATCTGGACAGGGACTAAAGATACACAGATACACTGCTATGTCAAAACACCGCTCAAACAGCCCTCTCAGGATTTGTGTATTTTACTATACATAGATAAAATTTACCTTAGGAAAACCATGAACATATATTGAACGCCAATAGTGTGCTGAAATACAGTATTTACATACGGCCTTTGCTAATGTCTGTAATTTACTTCAAATTTTATAAAACTGTAAGTTGGACTGATGCATGGAAAACAGGATGAGTAGAGAGAAGCATAATAAAAACATAACAAAATGTTCATTATAGAGTATGGGCATGGGTATTCGGGTGTTATTGTTCCTGCAACTTTTCTGCCTTAAAAAGGGGGGTGGAGCAGTGTCACAGTGCCCTCGTCTTAACCCAAGTTAGACACTTGGCAAGGCACCCATCCCAACCAAGCCTTGGGATCACATACTTTCAATTCTGAGGACAAGCGAAGATCTGAGTAACACAAGCAGCTTTACAGGAACTCACATCACTCACGCCAAAGACTTTCTGCCTGGTTCCCTACAGGCAAAGCAATTATTTGAATGTAAGCCAAAAATTCCTGCTCAAGAGGGAGAAAAAGAACTCAGTGAATTGTATTCCCAATTTATTCTATTTCAATTCCTGCATCACGTCTGTTTAACTAACTGTACGGTACTTCACTTCCATTTGTCCCATGTCCAAGCAGTCAAAAGCCAAACAAAGAAAAGCCGACCTAAGAACTCGCTATACAAATTCAGCCAGAGATGACGGCCCAGCTCGAAGGGCCAGTTCCTTAAGCAGCCCAGAAACCCACTGAGGGCAAAAGAGGGCACAGAGATCTGTCTGACGCCAAACTCAGGCGTCACCTGAGGTTAGCGCACAAGCACCCAGGTGCCCCGAACAGCCTGTTGCTTAACCCTTCTGTGGGCTTGGTGTCCTGGGGTCACTTGAATTTCCTCACAATTCGGCTGTTCAAGAGTACAAATTAGGAATCCCGGCAGCCAGGAGAGCATGGGGTGCACCGTGGCCCTACCCGTAGGCCCAGAGGTTGCTCACATTACACCTGGCTTCCTTCCTGGCAAGGCCTCCCTTATCCTGAGATGACACGGGATGGCAAGGGTTGGAAGACGCCTGGCCCGAACATACGCCCAGCATCTGTAAATGGCTGTAGGGATACCAGAAGAGCCGTTCGTGGGAACCAGAGCGGTCACTCACATACAGAGACTTGTGCCGGACTCTTTGGGGATGGCAGTTGTTGCTGCTGTTGTTGTTACATACTTTTTTTTAAGCCCCCACAGGCACACAGGGCAGCTGAGCGCGAGCGACAGACAAGGGACCGGCAGCAAGGAGCGAGCCAGGGTCGGAAGCCGGCCCTCCGCGCGGTTCTCCCTGCCAAAAACAACAGTGCCCGAGGTGAAGGGCACCAGCCTGGCCCGGAACCGGGCGCGTGCCTGACAACCGGGCTTCCTCCCTTCTGCTCAGACCCATACCCATCTCAGCGTCCCCTGCGCTTACGGGCTTAGAGCCAGGGAAGAAAACGCCTTTTTCCAAAGGGAAAGCCCCCCTTTTCATGGCCGGGGTGTCTCCACGCCTCCCCGCACGCTCTGTGCCTCCCGTGGGGACGGCGCCCCCTCGGAGCGCGGGACAGGTCTGGTCCCAGCCACGCAGCAGCTCTGGCGCAGCAAGCCCACCTCCCAGGGCGCACGGAGCGGCCGCGGCACGGGCGCTGCTCCACCCTACCCGACCCTGCAACTTGGACTCCGTGGCTAGCTCCCGCCTGGCCTTCGCCGGCACACCGTGGAGCTGCGTGTCCCGGACCCACCTGTAGCCTCAGCGTCCCCACCGCGTCCTTTCTAGGAGAGCCCACGACCCCCAACGTACTACTCCGAGCGCCTCTCCAGCGCGCCAGGGATGACCCCCACCCCAGCCCGCAAAAGTTGGGCCAGTACCCCGGCACCCCGTGGATCAACCCGGTCCCCATGCGACCCGGGCCAAGGGGCTCGCGTGGCAGCTCCGGAGCCCGGCACGGGGCAACCTGCTGGGAGGTGCCAGGCAGGGCTCGCCCTGTTCGCTGGGGACCTCGTCTGTAGGACCTTTCGGGGGTGCCCGAGCCCCGGACACCCGGAGCCCTGCCGCGCCCCCACCTACCTTCCCGGACGGCGGAGCAGAAGGCGCGGGTGCGGGCTCCCGGAGACTGCGCTCGCGTCCCGGGAGGAAAGTTTGTGCTATCCGGAGGCGGC